CTAATGCCACAGAGTCCCCCCGGCAAAGCAGCCATTTTCTCGAGGAGAACTAATCCTGGTCATCTGGAGATCAATGGTAATAGCGAAAGATCTCCGGGTCCCATCTGGAGGCTGGCAAACACGAGATATGGCCCTTTTGTCTCTCATTGCTAGGAAGAAAGAGTGGGGGGGCCCCCACCTGGTCCCGCAGTGTGTCCTCTCAGCTCAAGAGCTTGAGCCGTACAACCCACCTGTGATGCTGCACTTGTGAGGTCATGACCTGTGGCTTGAGAACAACTGCCTTAAAAGGGTGAGATTTTAATCCAGTAGGACCTTAAAGACCAATGGGATTTCCAGGGTATAGCCTTCTGAGCAGTGTTCCCGCTAAGCTGAGTTAGTGTGAGCTTTGTTGTCGTTCAGTCGCACAGTCGAGTCCGACGCTTCGCGACCCCATGGACCAGATCACGCCAGGCCTTCCTGTCTTCTGCTGTCCTCTGAAGTTGGCTCAACTTCATGTTCGTTGCATCCATGACACTGTCTAACCATCTCATCCTTTGCCGTCCCCGTCTTCTTTGACCTTCAGTCTTTCCCAGCATCAGGGTCTTCTCCAGTGAGTGCTCCCTTCTCATTCGGTGGCCAAAGTCTTTGAGCTTCAGTTTCATTATCTGGCCTTCCAGGGAACAGTCAGGGTTGATTTCTTTTAGGATTGACTGATTGGATCTTCTTGCAGTCCAAGGGACTCTCAAGAGTCTTCTCCAGCACCATAGTTCAAAAGAATCTATTCTTCGGTGCTCGGCCTTCCTTATAGTCCAACTCTCGCAGCCATAAAACAAAAGGGGGCGGGAAATAGTGTGAGCTAGCTCACAGTTTATTTAGCCTCCGGCTCACGCACTTTTGTCTCTGCTCAGGAAGGATGAGGCTCCAGAGCAAACTAATTTATGCAGCAATCAAAATCATTCGCTCACGACTTTAATGCCGGCAGCTCACAAAGCGGAATTTTTGCTCACAAAAACTCCGCAGCTTAGAGGGGAGCATTGCTTTTGAGTCTCAATGCTCCCTTTGTCGAACACCATGGCTTTTGACTCTTGAAAGCTTATACCTTGGAAATTTTGTTGGACTTTTAAGGTGTTACTGGACTCGAATCTTCTGCTCTTCTACCGCAGAGCAACGTGACTACCCACCTGAAACCGTCTTAAAAGTAATCACAGGAGGGGAGAAAGCCACGGAGGATTGTTTCTCATGGGCATGGCGTTTTGTAAAGGAAGGGAACAGAGACGTTCCTCTGTTGAGGAAACTACAGTCTAAAGATGTCTACGGGGACCGGGGACAACAGAGGGTGGGGAGGTCGGTGGAGGTGAGGGTAACTGGGGAAGAATATGGATAAGTGAGCACGACAAGGCTATAATTCTGGTACCCACCAGAGGAAGAGAAGAAGAAGAAGAAGAGGAGATTGGATTCATACCCCGCCCTTCACTACCCAAAGGTGTCTCAGAGCGGCTGACAAACTCCTTTCCCTTCCCCTCCCCACAACAGACACCCTGTGAGCTCTTAACAGAGACTGCTCTTTTTCAAGAACAGCTCACAAGCCGTGGGGCACCTGGGGAAGCCGATCCTGGGAGGGAGCTGTGCTGTCAGGGGTGTGGCCTATTATGCTAATGAGTTTCTGTGGTTGGCTGCGGCCTATTATGCTAATGAGTTCCTGCTCGGCTTTTTCTACAAAAAGAGCCCTGCCGAAGACCATATTATCTGTGTAGTTCATTCCATCCAACTTTTGATGGGACGAACAAAAATTAAATGCTGGACTACACTTAGTTTACCGAAAGTAAAAAAGATGCAGCATATCCGAAAGGTGGGCTTTGTTACAGAAACAGACCCCCCCCCGGCACATCATGAAATGCAAAAGGTACGTCCTGCGAGATATCACAAGAGAAAAGTGTTTTTAGACCACAAAATCCATGCTCCGATGCATCTGTAAGTCTGGCACACAAGACACTTTTTCTTCCGTTTTGTTTTCATTACAACAGACTAACATGTCTGGCTAAAAGGTAAAGGTTCCCTTGCTCGAAAGCCAGTCGAATCCGACTCTAGGGTTGCGGTGCTCATCTCCGTTTCAAAGCGAGCCAGCGCTGTCCGAAGACGTTTCCGTGGTCATGTGGCCGGCATGACTAAACACCAAGGCGCACGGAACGCTGTTCCCTTCCCACCGAAGTGGTCCCTATTTATCTACTTGCAATTTCTTGCTTTCGAACGGCTAGGTTGGCAGGAGCTGGAACTAGAGACGGGAGCTCACTCCGTCATGCGGCACACTCGGGTCTCAAACTGCTGAACTACCGACCTTCCACAGCCTGCAGTTCAGCGTCTTAACCACGAGCCACCGCAGCTCCAACATGTCTGGCTACCCCACTGGAATCCCACTGTTGTAGTTTTCGAAACCACAGAGAAAAGTTCTGATGCCTAATAGGCCTAACATTACCCCCCCCCCCCACATACACAGGCCACATTGCAAACTGCCTTTGAAACTTCTGGAAGAGGGAGGAAAGGAGCACTTTGCTATGGCCATGGAGAGAACCAAGGGGTGGATGCAGATTTAGAGTGTGCTATGAAGGAGGAGTGAACAAAAACTGAGTTAACTGGGAATGGGTTAAAAAACCCCAAAGTTCTCCCAGAATAACCAGAGCAGTATAACCCCAATTAGGGTTGCCAGCTCTGGGTTGGGAAATACCTGGAGATTCGGGGGGTGGGTGGGCGGAGCCTGGGGAGGGTGATGTTCGCGGAGGGATTGCAGCACGGTAAATGCCATTGAGTCCACCCTCCAAAGCAGCCATTTTCTTTAGGGGAACTGAACTCTGTAGTCTGAAGATCAGATGTAAAAAGCATCTGTTTCTTAACAAGGAGATATAGGGACATGAGAAATCGGTTTCAGAACAAGCAGGGCTGCCAATTGCCCACAAGGAGGGGTGTGTGTGTGTCTGGGAACCGGGGACATGTCATACTATTCTCTAGGAACCACCCCCAATCTCTATGATTTTTTTTTAAAGGGAAATCCTAGAATGCCATCCAATGTGGTGGTAACACTTCTGTTTTTGCACCCAGAAGGGACATCATAGTGCCTCACACTGCTGTTTCACTAGGTGCCTGCCAACCCAGGCCCCACCTTGAGGTTGGCAACCATATCCGCAATCTAAAAAAAGAATTTTCAACAAGGACCCATTCAGAGGAAGAACCACACGAGCAGGGCATCGCATCATACTTGCTTGGAACAAGATACTGCTACTGGGGTCCCCCCCCGCCCCCCCAAAAAGACAAATGGATTGTGAGTAAGCACGGGAACCAAACCCACACCTCTCTTGAAGCAAACCCCACCCCCTAATTGTGTAGAAAGGCCCCAGATAACACACAGGTTTCCTCACTGCTGCCTTTGGGATTGTTGCTACAAACATTCGGATTCTACAGGGGCAGACGTTCTAGAAATGTCAGGTTTGACACCATGCCGAGAACTTAATATGCGCCTCTACAACCTTAAAAAACGTGATCCAATTGAAAGCAGGGTACTTGGCCAGCTAGGCAACCGGCACAGGTTCTCCTAGAAGGTCACCGGCTTGTTCAACTGTCTACGTGCTTTGTCATACAATCCACTTACCTCTGAAAAGAATACAGAGAGGATGACTAGACTGATCCAGTGAATAACTCCAGCAAACTGAGATGCGCTTGAAACTGCAATTGACACAATATAATGAAGCAGAGTTTTAGTTTTCTCACCAGCCAAGTTTTACATGTTGCATATACACACTGTACTTAACCATTCAAACAAATACTAAGGGTACAGATGGCTTGAGTTGGCTGACACCCAGGAATGTACCCTTTGGCTGTGAGCTAAGAAACAGGGAGAGAAGTGAACTCTGCACATGCTCATCGACACACTTTTTAACCAGGCTGCAGAGAACTATTTACACAGCTTGTGCACAACATTTAGAAACACAGCCCAAGCAACTGGCTTTCAAACCGGATTCTGGGAGCTTGTGCCAGCAAATCCAAACTCACATTTCAGCTCTGCATAACTAAATATTGAATGTCTTTTGAAACTTCCATTTAGGAAAATACAGACTCCCGGTGAAACATGAAATGGAGAATGCTTTGAAAAAACAATTGGACAGAATGCATTTAGCCCAGTGTCTTCCTTTAACTCGCAGCCTTGGGAGAGGATCCATACGGTCGATGGGGAATATCCTGCCTTCACAGTTGGCGGGTGATTCATTCGGCCGTGAATCGCACGCAACTGGCAAGCCACCAAATCAGAACGTTCACATTCTGAGATGGGCTTTTATTCTGCGGATCCTCCAAGCTCCTATCTTACATCAGTAAGCAAAACAAAAAGTGGCTGTTTTTGTTGTTGTTCAGTCGCACAGTCGAGTCCGACTCTTCGCGACCCCATGGACCAGATCACGCCAGGCCTTCCGGTCTTCCGCCGTCCTCTGACGTTTGCTCAACTTCATGTTCGTTGCATCTATGACACTGTCTAACCATCTAACAGGCTGTTTTTACGGGAAGTGAAATGCCTGTTGGTTCTATTTTTACATTCTAAAGTTTCCAGCCTTGCAAAAGCTCCATCTGATCCGTTCCAGCGCAATCTCTGAGTAAACTTGCAAGGAGCCACGAGTCAATACCGATACTACCGTGTGGGTAGGAAACCTACAAGTACCAACTCAGAAATATTTACATGAGATTCACTTGTTTATTAAACGTGGAACGGGCTACGAAGGAAGCAAACGGGCTGAAAAGGGAGAAAATTCACCCATCTGGACCAAATGCAGACTGCCTCCCGGGGGCCAGCCTTAGTCTGCCCCCGCTTCTCCCCAGCATGAATTTCCCTCCCTCTTCCCACCTTTGCCTGAGATATCGCATTATATCTGTGTTGACATTCACTGTGGCTAGCCCAGTTCCTCCTTGTTATTTATTTACTTTATTTATATCCCATCTGTAATGATTTCAATTTATATGTGTGTGTTTCTTTAAATGGTTGGTAAGTGTCAGAGGAACAAGGTGGGGGTGAAAGAGGGAGATGAGTGAGTGAGGTGATTGGTCGGTGACTGACAGTATGTGGGCGGAGCTAGGAGGGGTGTGTGTGTGTGTGTGGAGAGGGAGAAGGCAGAGGGTTGAGTTAGAAGTTTGAGCTGGAAGTTTGAAGTCCGCAGATGTCAGTTGTGGTCAATCTACAGAGTCAGAGAAGCAGACTTCCAAACAGAATCATATAGAGGTGCTGTGAAAGGCATTAAGATTCGAAAGGAGGAAGAAATTTATTATTTATTTATTCAATTTATACCCCTCCGTCCCCGCGAGCAGGCTCAGGGCGGCTTACATTAATTGGTATCCAGTACCATAAAACCATACAAAAGTTACAACAGTTTAAACATTTAAACAACCAATAATCAAAGTGCTAGTGATGGGAGTCGTTTTTCAGCAGTTAAGATGGCACGCTATATAGTGTACAACCAATTCTTTTGGCTTCAGTGATCTTCGGCACTGTGCAATGGGATGGCATAATCTCCAGGCTGGGGCCAACCTATAGCCACAGATGTTGGTGGTAGTGGTGTGGTGGCTCCTAACTGAAGGCCTGGTGGAAGAGCTCCATCTTGCAGGCCCTGCAGAACTGTAAAAGATCCCGCAGGGCTCTGATCTCCTCCGGGAGCTATTTCCACCAGTGTGGAGCCGCCACTGAAAAGGCCCTGGCCCTGGTGGCAGCAAGCCTGGCGTCCTTAGGGCCTGGGATGGTCAATCGATGTTGTGACCCCGACCGTAGTGCTCTCTGGGGTATGTATGGGGAAAGGCGGTCCCTCAGGTATGTTGAACCCTGGCCACTGAGAAAGATCTTGTCCTCGTTGCAGCATAGTGCACCTCCCGGGGGCCCGGGACCACCAACCGGTTCTGGGTCCCTGACCGAAGTGCTCTTGGGGGTATATATGGGGAAAGGCGGTCCCTCAGGTAGGTCGGACCCAGGCCATATAGGGCTTTAAAGGTGAGTACCAGCGCCTTAAAGCGAATTCGGTATGCTATTGGCAGCCAGTGCAGTGCCTTCAGCCCAGGCTGGGTGTGCTCCATTGTTAAGGAGAAATATATTTAAGGGGACATATTAGGCAAAATCTAATTGAGTATTTTAAGAGTGTGAGGGGAAAGGGCTGACAGAGACCTGAGTAAAAAGGGAAAGATTTTACTGAGCAACTTCACAAAGCATCTTGTAACCAATACGCTTCCTCTACCAATAAAGTTTTATCTTGTTTATTGTTAACCCAGAGTCTTATCCTCAGAACCACACAGTCCAACAAAGGAGCCGTAGAGCTTGGGAACAATACTGTGGGAAAGGTGAATTAAAGACGGGCATTAAATTCCTGGTGGCAGCGATAGATACTTTGAGCGAGAGAAAGAAACAAGAAATTCAAAACTACATCACACCTAACCACACAAAATAAGAGACAGTTACTGTCACACCATCTTTCATTCCAATGGAGACCCAAAGGCAGCTTAAAATTGCTCTTCTCTCCTCCGTTTTATCCTCACAACACCCCTGTGGGGAAGGTGCGGCTGAGAGCATGTGACTGGCCTAAGGTCACCCAGCGAGCTTCCCATGGCAGAGTAGAGATTCGAACCTAAATTTCCCGGGTCCTAGTCCAGCACTTTAACCAACTACACTACCCTGGCTCCTTAACGAGGGTTTGCAAGCCTGCTCCAATCCCTGCCTTCAAATCCTGGTTAAGAACCCCAATTAGCATCAACCAACCATGGTTAGCACCAATGCTCCCTCTAAGCTGTGGAGTCTTGTGGGCAAAAATTCTACTTTGTGAGCTGCTGGCATTAAAGTTGTGAGCGAGTGATTTGGCTACTGCATAAGTTCGTTTGCTCTGGAGCCATCTTTCCTGAGCTAAGACAAAAATGTGTGAGCCGGAGGCTAAGAAACTGTGAGCTAGCTCACACTAACACAGCTTAGAGGGAACACTGGTTAGCGCTGCTGTGTACACAATGCAAAGCCAAGTTTAGGACTTTTAAGGGAGAGGAGAAGGACTTTGTACTTGCTTTAAGAAGGGCACTAGACAGATTCATGGAGAATAAGTTTATCGGAGGCTACTAGCCGTGGTGACTGAGGGGAACCTCCACATTCAGAGGCGGTCAACCTCTGAATCCCAGAGCCAAGAGACAACATCAGGGGAAGGTCTCTGCCTCTATCCTCTGTTATTAGACCTCCAGAGAAACTGGTTGGCCACTGTGTGAGACGGGATGCTGGACTCGATGGACCACTGGTCTGATCCAGCAAGGCTCTTCTGATGTTCTTATCAGGGAAGGCCTCAGCCTCCATGCCCTGTTGTTGGACCTCCAGAGGAACTGGTTGGCCACTGTGTGAGACAGGATGCTGGACGAGATGGACCACTGGTCTGATCCAGAAGGGCTTTCCTTATGTTCTTATGCACAGTGGCAGGGAATAGGGAGTTTACCTGAGGTAGGCCTCAAGTTGTGGTTTGCAGGGGCGCCAAAATTAAGTCTGTACTGGGCAGTACCTCACTTATTCAGTTTGTTCTGGGACAACATTGCTTTCAGATTTTTTTTTAAAAGTCCGTTTCCAGACTAACATACTTTTTAGTCCTGGAAAAATTCGTGACATCTTGGAGAATACTGAACATGCATAGCTTCTACAGATCTGGAGACTGGCCCACAATTAGCACCAAGGTAAAGTGTGCAGAGACTGATCTTGCAACATGCAAAAAACGCACAACCCCCACCACCACTGAGCGAAGGGTAGGTGAACACAGACAAGCATATCACTTACTAGTATGCACCAGACGCACTAGTATTTCTTTACACAGGGCAAAGGGCCCCTCGAGGGAGAGGCACTTGTCTGGTTTTTGCAATGTGCGAAAGCCTCATCCAAAAGCCTCTAGCTGCCAATGCAAGCAGGTGATGGAAAACACATTTGACTCTTGCTATATAACGATAAGCTCCCGTGAGACAAAACAGCTTTAGGAGCAAGTTTGAACAGATGTTGACTGTTTCCCCCCCCTTTTCCCTCCTTCTCTCCCCCTATGGAGTTGCCAGTTCCGGTTTGGGAAATTCCTGATTTGGGGGGCGGGGCGAAGTTTGGGGAGGGAAGGGTTTGGGGACGGACCTCAGTGGGTACAAGGCCATAGAGTCCACCCTCCAAAGCAGCCATTTTTCTCCAGGGGAACTGATCTCTGTAGTCTGGAGGTGAGCTGTAGTTCCAGGACTCCAGGCTCTCCCTGGAGGTTGGCAACCCTACGAAAGCACCAGGCTGTAGTCGGGAAAATATTAACTATTTAGTGGGAATAGGAAACTCAACAAACAAAAGTACCTCAATTAAAGTTTAATGACACTTAAAAAAAACAAAAAAACACACACCCAGAACTCACATTTATAGCCCCTAAGTCTGCATTATGAAAGGCTTAAGAGCACAATCTCCCCCCCCCTCCAGCTAAGCTGCACCCTTTCTGTAACATCCTGATTGATCAAGCAATAGGGCAAACGCTACGAGGAAGCCATCTAACCATTACACTGGAAGAAATCCAAGAATGAGCAATTGCCTGGCTGCCCACTAGCGGTTCACGCAAAGATATACACAAAATGCCAAAAAAGCTATAAACAGATTCCAGGACCTAGAGGTTTGTTCTTCCCCGCTAGGATGTTAAGCGCTGCTAGGCATACCAACGAGCAGAGGCACGATTAATTAAAAATCAACTATGCAAGAAAACCCTTTCTAAAAGCCTCCTAATTAAAACGAACCGACTGCTTCAGTCCTTTGCACCGTTTCGGTCCGTGCAAATCTTATAGCTTTTCTGAAACACACGAAGCAAGCCAGCAACGAAAACACAGTTTCTTCCTGATAACAGGTTCACCTAGGGGAGCTCAAAGTCATTCTTACTATTTCATATTTTTTTATTATTTGTTGCTAGGGAATAAATGTGAATTATTTTAACAAAATATTTTGCGTGTATATCACCACTTCAGTGCCTTTGCGCAGAGGCAGTTTTTAAATATCAGCCCCAACAACAGCTACCCAAATTTATGTATAGTTGTCGTTTTTTTAAAATGTTAAAGCCAGCAACAAGACTTTCCAAAATGGTAGCTGTAACAAGGCTGGAGCAGGCGGGAACCATGATGTGATGCTCTAGGAATCCTCCCCCACCTCTATGGACAAGGGCATAGAAATCGGGGGAATTCCTAGAGTGTTGTTGGTGCGGTGACCAGGACTGACACTGCAGCATCTGTGTCAAGGCGGGCAACTTAAGTTTCTATTATGGTGGGACCCAGGGTCTTCTATAGAGTTTTGTTGGGCTGTAAGATATGAAAGGTTGAAAACCACTGGTTTAATTGACTACTCCCAGAACCCATTTTCCCTTAGGACAGCCTTGGTGGGTGTGGTCTTGGGCTTTCAAACACAAACGCTGGCATTATCCTTTACAAGCAACACATGTGTCAAACCTTCTCGGTGCATAGACTACATCCTGTTAAAGAAAGATCTGGTAAGAGCTCCGCGTTTGTGCCACGTGGAAAACACACAGATGCACACATGAAAGGTAGCAGGCAGAGGGAAACGGCAGATAACGTCACTTTGGCCAGGAAATTAATCGACACGACCCCAGGGGCTCACGACATTCTGAAAAGCACACAGCTCATATATTCTACAGGTGACTTCTATGACAAACCCACAGCTCCCCCCCCCTCCACCCCATGAGCCTGAACATCATGTCTTTTTGACCAAAAGTTTCAGGAAAAAGAAAAGCCTGCTACTCACACTGGAGGAGCTTTATATCTATTAGGAGTTCCAGAGTCAGCAGAATCACCACCAATACTACACAGGCTACCAGGAAACTGTTGAGACTCGCACTGAGCAAAAATACCTGCCAGACAGCTGCTCGTCTCCCGCAGCAAGGTTTAAGCCAGTTAGATCTGAAGAGATAAAATCAGGGGTGGGGGTGGAGGAAGGGGGGGTACAGGAGGAAAAGAGACAGAGAAAGGAAGATGGGTAAAGAGCAACAGGACAGATAGACTTCAGACGTCCGCAAGAGCAGAAGGAATTGCGGGCCCTTTTCTAGTCGTTTTTCGAATCAGGCTCTCGTAGGTTCGTCGCTTGTTCGAATATTCTTTGCCGTCGGCCTGCAAAATTCTCATGTGCCCTCTTGATGCCGGGCGTTCTAAAGAGGGCACCAGCACACGCATGAAACGGGAGTCCAGTGGCACCTTAAAGACCCTACCGAGAGCTTTTTGAGTCACAGCTCACTTCCTCAGATGTATTCGAGCCCAGGAACGCCTCGGAGATCAAAGGGAGCTTCAGAGTATAGGCTTTCAAGAGTAAAAGCTCCCTTCGTCGGTCATGGTGGCGGCGGAAAGTGCCATCAAGTCTCAGCTGGCTTAACGGTGATCCTGTACAGATTCCAAGGCAAGAGACGTGGTGTCAGAGGTCCTTTGCCGTTGCCTTCCTCTGCGTTACGGCCCTGGTATTCCTTGGAGGTCTCCCATCCGAAAAAACTAATCAAAGCTGAACCTGCTTAGCTTCCAAGACCTGATGAGATCAGTCTAGCTTGGGCTACCCAAGTCAGGATCCCTTTGTCAGACAGGAGTAGAAACGGAGAGCTCGGAGTCCTTTTGTCCTAGTCAGGAGATGGGAAGGATGCCGTAAGGAATGATTGTAAAGGATGCCGAGGTACCCATGCATGTTGTGATTGGCTTGATTAGAGCAGAGGGGATATGCCTGGGGACAGACAATTAGAAACTGGACTAAGATAAGAATCCTATGTCCCTATTCAGCCAGGGGTTCTAAACCTGTGAATGAACTCAAGTTTAGCACTCTCCCATTGTAAACCCCCCTTGGAATTTCTTCGTTTGAGGACTGCCACTGTCTTCATCAGATATGCAGAGGGAAATATGTGGAGGGATTTCCATGCACAGATCCGAGGGCGTGTGCCTCCACATACCTCCTTCCACGTATCTGAGGAAGTGTCCTGTGACGCACAAAAGCTCATGTGGAAATACGTGTTGTTACTCTTTTAAGGTGCCGCTGGATTCTTGTTTCATTTTGCCACCACCAACTTAACTTTTCAGTTCCATCTGAAACAGAGAGAACAATCATTGGCCTGCCTTGAGTTCTTAGGTCAAATGAGTCAAACATTAAAGGAAAGGAAGGAAGGAGAGGACAATCTTTGGCAGCTCTCGTGCCCATTTTCTTTTTCGCAACCACTGTGATCTAGTGCGCCTGTGCCTATTACACTTTTTAAAGGCACAGAAGCCCCAAAAGGACCATCACTGGAATGAGCAATGTGCACAACTGTTATTAGTTCACATCCCCACAGCTCTGTCCTGCGAGCATGGGACTTTCTACCTAGAACAAAGCACGACGTCTGCTGAATCGGAGCTTCCACGTCTAAAAAGGCACATGTTTTCTTTTTAGAGGTGTGGCCATCTTAGTCAGTCGCTGCCAAAAGCAGAGTCTTGTGGGGACATCAAGAGGGACAGATGTGTTGTAGTGCAAACTTTTGTGAATTATTTTTGTGCATTTATGTTACGTATAGCCCACCTTTCTCACAGGGGCTCGAGGCAGATTACACATAGTGAGTAACCAATGCGTTAGGATTGCAAATGCCCGGAACCAACCGGAAAGAACTGAAACAGAGCGTAAGTATTAACGTAACAGGTTAACTGGCGCAAAGTTACATGAAAGTATCTTACTTACAAGTAAGCTCCACACAGCAGGACTGCCCACAGTCCCAAGTCATTTATCCACTTCATTGTATGTGAGCTTGTCTTGTGTTAAGTCTGCTGAAAGTCCAGTGAGCAACAGTGCAAGCCTAAGAAAACTTTCCTGGGAGGGAGAGCCATTGAACAGAGCCACCTAGGACTGCACCGCAAGAGTGGGGGATCTTCCAGTGGTCGAGGCTTTAGTTTAATACCCCACTTTCCCCATTCCTTATCACACGGACATCTCGTAGCCAATGTTCCCTCTAAGCTCTGGAGTCTTGTGAGCAAAAATTCTACTTTGTGAGCTACTGGCATTAAAGCTGTGAGCGAGCGAATGGGCTACTGCATACATTAGTTTGCTTTGGAGTCATCCTTCCTGAGCTAAGACAGAAATGTGTGAGCTGGAGGCTAAAAAACTGTGAGCTAGCTCACACTAACTCAGCTTAGAGGGAACACTGCAGTCATAGCCCAAACTCAGCACCCTTTCGCCTCCGCCCTCCCCTGCTCCCAATTTCTAACAGGATGATGGAAGCCAAATTCAGTAAGTGCACTCAAATATACTTCATTTGCCTGAGTTGCCTTTTAACTGCACGAGTGGATTTTCCAAGTGAAGGACCCAAGTCAACTCAGCACCCTCTCGCAGAGGGGGGACAGCCGCTCTGCTTACGTGCTGTACATGCGCAACTTTGTCATGAAGCGAAATGAACAAGCCAATGACACAGCTGTTTCTCCAGTGCCAAAGCTGGGAAACTCTTTGGAGCCAACGGCACACCCTCCTTTTCCCCAGCTAAGGGATTCCCCTCCCTGGTAGGTTCTTTGCGTGTCTAAACCACAACGGGAGCAACCGCCTGCAGAAAGGTCAAACGGTTCTTCAAGCCACCTGATTAAGACCATGGTGTTGGCTATGCTCCTTCCCAATCTTGGACCACATTTAATGAACCAGATTCTGATGTTCTTTTCTGGAAAAGAAACAATCACTGCATTCAGATGTTCGGAACAAGCCAAGCTCCCCCACCCTTGGTGTCCCCCACCCCCAACTGAGGATCCCCTAAAATGGGAAGCCCTCCGTTTATAACTGCAACTTGTTGCCGTGTCTGAATCCGAGGACTTCAGCAAACTGCAGTTCCGTGCAGCTCAACTGCAAGTCCCAGTTTGTGAGGACAAACAAACCGCAGTCCATTCAGATGTTATAAGATATAAGACAAAGCTTTAACTCGTCCAATGAGCCAGACTTGATGTTCTGGATCAAACACTGTCAAATTACCACAGCCAAGTCTGGTACAAGAAAGTGCTACAGTGGAAATTTGGGCTTGGACTTGGGAGGTAGCCAGGGTTTAAACCCCAAATCAGCTATGGCTGATTTCTAATGGACTCTGGGCCCCGTAATGTCAGTTCCACCTCCAAAACATATTCTACCACTGTGTGCCTCAAAGGACTGTGAGCAGGGCTATTTGTGGGCAGGAACGCACAGGAACGGAGTTCCGGCTGGCTCCCAAGTTGGCCACGCCCAGCAGGAACTCATTAGCATAATAGGCCACACCCAACAGCAGAAACTCATTAGGATGGGCTACATTAGGGGTGTGTGGCCTAACATGCAAAGGAGTTCCTGCTACAAAAAAGGCCCTGGGTTTTGACAACAAACAAGGTAAACAGAATAACAAGCAAAAGGTGGGTGTGGCTGGATGAGCACACTTCTGGTAACATGGGGGTGCGGCCTAATGTGCTAATGAGCTGTGCTGTCAGGGGTGTGGCCCAATATGCTAATGAGTTTCTGCTGTTGGGTGTGGCCTATTATGCTAATGAGTTCCTGCTGGGCTTTTTCTACAAAAAGAGCTCTGACTGTGAGGATTAATAAGGG